GTTTTGTTGTATGCAATGTGTTTTGTTTTTTTTTTAATGAAATTAATAAATACAATAAAATAAAAAATAAAGGGTACTGATTGGATCCCTGTCTTCTACAGTCAACAAGTTTATATTCCAACCTTAAATATGTTGCTCACTAGTGAGTTGCTTTGCATTTTTTAAAAATATATTTCTTTTTTCAGCGAAGATATAAATGCTTATTTTATATTTTAATATGTTTGACTCCATTTACAGTGGAAACCCTTTACTCTTGCCTCCTGTAAACGGTAATTTCTGTTTTCTGTAAATAGAACTGTCAGAGCAGATTCATGTGTTCACTTCATCATTTATTTCACCATGTCACTGGCTGGAATTCAGCTCACAACCTTAGTGTGTAGATGTATAGTTACAGAATATTTAAACAAAATTATTTCATGTTCGATGTTTTTTAGTTGAAGCTCATGAGCAAGGTGATTTGGGCAGCTGTGGCAGAGTGGTTAAGGGAGTCATCCTGTAACAGGTAAGTCGCTGGTTCGATTTCTCATTCCACTGTGTCAGTCATGTCCTTGAGCAAGACACTTCATGTGCCTTGCTCAGTGATGGTGGTCAGAGGGGGCAGTGGTGCTGATGCACTGCAGCCTCTCAGCCCTCTGTCAGTGTGGCCCAGGGCAGCTGTAGATTACATCATCAGTGTGTGAATGGGTGAATGTCTGCAGTGTGAAGCTCTTTGGAGTCCGACGGGACTTGATTTAATACCCAGAGAAAACCCGTAGAGATTATGTAAACTCCACACATAATAAAAATTGGCAACCCAGGTGAAAAAATAATATACTAAGTATACTAAATCTAAGTATAGTTTAGTATACTTTAAGCCACACTAATCATCAGTATATGTCCTGATGCATCTCAGTAATCCAGGTAAAAAGATCCAGGTAAAGAAAGACCGTCCATCATTAAACAGAGGTGGGGGCCTCCGTTTTCAGCTGTCCCCCTCCTACAGCACTGTCATTGGCAGTATCACTCCACCCCCTGTTAACAAAAGGTATTAATTAGGGTGAACAATAGCCATGTGATGTGAGTATCAGTCACCTGTGAACGATAGCCATGTGATGTGAGTATCAGTCACCTGGAG